CAATATGTTATAATAAAAATTAATTTTATTTTTTAGTATTACATGGAGTATGTATTACTTAAAGTAATAAATAAAGAAAATTACAAGCAGGAACCATGATTAGTTAGAAAAAAGAATATAAACTTTTTTATTTATTTTGAACAAGCCAAGATGTAAGCATAGGAAAAGTAAACTCTTTAATTTTATGTTTCCAAAGCACATCAACCATTTTCTTAATGTAGTTTAAACGTAAGAACTTAATTTTGTTTTGTATATTTTAATTAAATGTAAATATTTTGTTAAACTTGGTTGGTAAGTTTATTGTTATAAGAATTCGACTAAAAATATTTGTGGGCTTCATTAAATTAATTTGGATGTGACCATATTAAATCTGTTTTTTGAATTTATTAAATCTCTTTTTTGAATTTATCATTACTAAATTTACATTATAATTAAATATATTTTCCTATAATTTATGATCAAAGTGTTGTACAATTTGGCCAAAAAAATTAAACTGTTGTAATTTTTTTAGAACGCAAATAGGACGTATGAAATATGTCCAGGGTGAAACAAAAGACCAGAGTTGGATGTTGGAAAAAGCTGAAATGAGTTGGAAAAAACTGGAAGGAGTTGGAAGAAACTAGATAGAGTTAGAAAAGCTGGAATGTGTTGGAAAAAACTGGAATGAGTTGGAAGAAAACAATGAGTTAGAAAATTTATGAAAGACGTTAAAAAATAAAAAATTAAAATAATAGTTTTATTTTATAAATTTCAAATTTTATTTAAAAAAATATACTATACTTTTAAAATTTCGATCTCTTTTTATTTTCTATGCCATTATATGTTATCCCAAATCATATTTGTAATTATTTTTATGACACTCACTTTTTCTTTATTTTTTAAAGCCAATATCAATTATATAACTTTTTACTTTTTATAGTTCTACGTCACTAATCTATGTAAAAAAAGAAAATAAATGAAACAATACTTTTTATTAATCTTTGTTGAAAGAAACACTGGACTTAAATAGTATAACGATGTCTCGATTAAACAAAAATAATAATATTACATCACATTTTATATATCAAAATAATTACAAAAATGATCTGACACTAATTAATAATGTTAATTTTGCATAAAAAATTACAGATTTAACATGATTTATATTTTTATTTAATTATAAAAAATGATTCCGATTAGCCAAAAACACTAACTATTTTTATTTCGAAAACAAATCCCCAAATAAATTTGTGATCCAACCACGTAGGTAATAAGAGGCGTCAATTGATTCACTTAATAAATTTTCGTACGTCTCAAGAATGATTTTTTTTCCTAATATTTTTATTTCATAAAAATCAAATAGATAATTTTTATACAATAGAGGTAGTTTTTTATATACATCCAACATATGAATATTTTAAAAATATAAACAATATGAGTTTTACACAATTTTTTCTTTGTATACTAAATTGATGTATGAACATTTATTTTTTTTCATATGCCTAGAACATGTACATTATAAAAATTATTAGTGTATGCACATTTAAAAGTAATGTAATGCTTGACTAAAAAATAAAGTAAACAATTATTTTGGTTAAAATCTTAAAACGTGGACAAGTACACCTAAAGATTAACGCTTAAAAGGACTGCGCCTAAAATAAGACCAATTGGGATGCAATAGCTTAAAATTTGAAATTTTTATGAAAAGAGACTCTAATTAATCGTGTGATTAAAACAAAGTTTGTTTCCTCGGAACTCCAAGTTGAACAAACCGTTACAAATACAGGGTGTATATATACAGAATTTTACTCCCAATGTGCTTTGCATCCCAATTGGGAATGGTTGTTATTGTGTTATACACGATTAGTCCTTCAATTTTAAAAATTTTATGAATAATAATCTTTCAAGTCATATATGTTATCTTGCATGATCGGTCCTTCAACTTTAAAAATTTCACGAATAATTCTTCAAGTCACGTTAGTATTGCATAGTTGGTCTTTCCGTCTATTTTGCCATTAGTTCATGTATTTTTTATTTTCTCTTTTTAGTACATGCGAGCGCGGAGGAACCCTATCTTCTCTATATAATTGAACCATATTTAATATAGGTCCATTTTAAATGATAAGAGTTACTCTTACTTATATTATTTTAATTTTTTAAATAAGATAAGTTATTTTTGCTTTTATTAGTTTAATTTTTAAAAATACTCACTCCGTCTTAAACTAATTATTAAATTTTGAATTTTTATAAGAAACCAGGTTGATTGTTTTATACCAATATTTCATTTAAAATGAATTTACAAAAAGTATGATTAAGTGTATGAAAAAGAGAAGGTCATCATGTGTATTTATTATGAAAATAATGCTTGAATTAACGAAAAAATTAATGAAAGGACCAACCATGCCACGTTGTGACTTAAAAGATTATTCGTGGAGTTTTCAAAATCGAAGGATGAATTGTGCATTACTCAAAAACTTGAAAGACCAATGATGGAATTTAGTCAAGTTATATAGGGGTGTGCCAAAAAATAGTCCATACCGATATTAACTTTGAGGGTCTTGTACGGGTGCACATCTTGGACACCCTTTGGGCCGCCCATGGTTACCATGATGGCTGAGGTGGCTGCCACTCAATGCGTGATGGGAGGGAACACCGCTCCCTCCCCGTGACCGTGATGGTGGTGATACTCATCATGCGTGTCACACTTTCCTTCAAGTTTTTGAAATTAAGACCGAAATAGCCATCTTAGGATCCGATATTGTTAGACATTCATTTTTTTAATTATTTGATATTTTAAATAATGTTTTTGAGTGCATAAATTCATACGGAGTATTTTAATAGTCAAAGGGTTAAAAATGCGGTTATAAAAAGTCAAGGTTAACATTAATTTTAAAAGAAAAATTCTCAACAATACTCTGACAAATATCCAATTTTACAGGAGTACTCCAAAAATCAATTAGTTACAATATTACTCCTAAAATTTCTCTCTTTTTACAAAAATACTCCACCTACCACCTTACTTGCGCAATAAAATTTTGTAATATCTAAATGGATTTTTTAAGTGATGATTTGAAAAAAGTGCTTTTTTTTTATTTTCATAAAAAATAAATTACTTATTCCTCCTTCAACTGAAATATCAATCACATCTCTCATAATTGGGGCATGTCATTTTCGGTTGGAATTCTAAAGTTAAATGTTAGACAAAACTAAAAGGGGTTGGAAAAGATTGAAAAAAAGTTAGAAAAAGTTGGAAGTTAACTTTTCCAATTCAAAAGAACAAACTCTTAAAGTAGAAGACTGATATTTAAGTTGGAGGAAGAATAACTAATTTATTTTTTTGTATGAAAATTGAAAAGAATGATTTATTTTCCAAGCCATCAGTTTAAAAGTTAATGTAGATATTACATAATATTATTGTGCAAGTGAGGTGACAAGTGGAGCATTTTTGTAAAAATAGAGCAATTCTGGGAATAATCATGTAATTAGTTGATTTTCGGATCAGAAATTTTTCGAAGTAGTACTGTAAATTTTTCCAATATTAATTAAAATAAAAGCACTATGCACAAACAAATTTAGGGCCTAACATGTGAATTTTACACATGATCAATTTTATTTTTTACCTTTTCGGGTGAGTCCCGACGACGCCTCATCCCTGCCCAAACCGCCCAGCCTTACAAATTGCAATTAAAACTCAAAATCACCTTTTTTATATTTGTATGCTTCACATTTGCACATAATTCCTGCATGTTTTGCACGCTTCGCGTTTTACCTTAAATTAAAGATTAGTTATACAACAGTTCTTTAATCAATTTGAATTGATTATTTTAAAACTTTTGAAAATCTAGGACTATTTACTCATTTGTAAAAGACCAAATATATTTTTTATGCATGTAACTCTTGCTTTCAAACTTTTATGATCTAATATTGTTAGATGTTCATTATTTTAATTACTTGATATTTTGAATTTATATGTTTGAATACTAGCTTTAAAGCATAAGCACTCTGCACAAACAAATTAAATTTAGGCCCTAATGTTTGAATTTTGCACATGGGCAATATTATTTTTTTACATTTCTGGGCTGGCTCTGGCGCCGCCACATCCCTGCACACACCGCCCAACCTTAGATATCACAATTAAAACTCAAGATCACATTTTTTATTAGTCCCTCCGTCCCAAAATATAAGCAACATTATGCTAAACAAAGTAATTTTTGAATTTTTTTCAATCCATTTTATTTAAAGAATGGTCTACAAATGAAAAATAAAACTTACATATTTAAAACTACGTCAAAAGTTTTACAAAACAAGTGGTGACAAGAATATTTTATTCTACTCCCTCCGTCCTATAATGATCTTCCCGGTTCGCAAAACGAAGAAAAATCCCAAGTTTTTTCAATCTATTTTATTTAAATATTGGTATAGAAATAAAAAATAAAACATACATTTTTAAAAACTACATCAAAAGTTTAATAAAACAAGTGGTGACAAGAATATTTTATTTTATCATATAGGCCATGAAAAAGCACAAATAAATATAAATTCCCGTGAAGTTGGAATAGTGCTCTGGGAATATCATTATAGGACAGAAGGAGTATAAAATAATCAATGAAAATGTAAAAATAAATAAAAGTTTCCAGGATTTTTAAATATTGGAGTGTTGCTTATATTTTGGGACGGAGGGAGGATATTATATATTTATGTGCACATAATTTGCACATTATTTGCACGCTCCGCGTTTTTATGAAAGAGTAATTATGCAAGAGTTCTTTTACTCAATTTGATTATTTTAAATTTTTTGAAGATTTGAGGACTGTATATACTAATAGAAGTCCACTGCAGGTGGCGCCCGTTTGTGCACAGTGGTACCTGCGAGAATCTTCCAAGTTTCAATTTTTCGCTCTTTCATCTCTGAAGAACGGTTTGTCATTTTCTCCACCGCGCTCGGCGTGAGTGCGTAAGCCGCTAAGCTGTTCATCGACCGATTTCGACCTATTTATAGTAATGGAGCGTCTCTCGAATGAGAGAAGAATCTCCGAGCAGGAACCGGAAACGGTGGGTGCGGATTCCGCGGCAGATCGTAAGTCCGTCGGCGATGATAACACGTCTCCTTCTTCTTTTGATTTCTTCTATCGATTTGAATTCTCAGGTGTTTTGCGTGATCTGATCTCCTCTGTTTGTTTTGCAGCGAATTGAGCATTGGAGGCTATGGCGAGTTTTGATGAAAAGCCGGTGAGCGTCAGTGAGGATGCGGTGGACTCCGCCGCCGCCGGGAAGTGGAAGGAGTACAGGAGTGAGATCGTGGAATGCCTGGAGGATGAGGATGGGCTGGAGCCGAAGGGGGGGCCGGAGAAGGAGAGCGGAGACGTGGACGGGAGTCAGGAGACGCTGGATGCTAGTGACGGTGGAAGCGGAGGAGCGGACAATCCGGCGTTGTTTAAGTCTGTCTTTAGGGCTTCTTCACTTGTTCACTCTGAAGTTAAGGAGAGCCCTCTCAGCTCCGATGCCATTTTCCAGCAGGTGTGTGTGTGTCAGTGTGTGTACTACTGTTCAACCTCGCCTTTTGAATTTCAATGACGACTATTCAACAGAATAAACTTTATATCATTCTCAGTTCTTTTTTAAGAAAAAAGAATATATATGAGCCACTATTTCATTTTCTTCAAACAAATGGAGTACTCTCCAGTTTTTGTTTTTTTTTTTGAATTTTGTAAAATTAAAGGGTGAATTAATTGAGACTTGAGAGACTAGGGATATTTTGTTGAGATTTGGACTCTTTTACTGTAGCTAACCCCACAAGCCTACTACAGTGGTATGGAAAAGAACTATGCTTTGCCTGTTCTTTTTTTCTTCTTTCTTTTCCATCTACTGAGTAGTATAAAGTGGCTAAAAGAAAGAAATATTAGAGCTTGAGGTCACACCTCCAAGGCTCCAAACCATTATATTCTGTTTTGCCTAAAAATAAGTATATAGCCCACAAATTTAATCCAAGCAGTTTATGTCAGTTGCTTTCAATAGGAGATTTTGTGCTTGAGTGGCTACTTAAGGCTGTGAAGCTTTGTTGTTCTGAAATTGGACATTTACTGTTATCAAGTCATTGTAATGGCTGGATTGATGTTTCAGTGAATGCACAAGTTTTGTCACAAATCTTCTCTTTCAGAAAAAAAGCAGTAGAGACCACCACATAAGAAGAAAGAAAATCTTTGTGATAGTAAATCTAAAACGTATAGACCCTTTTTGTTGTTTTGTGTGTTCTAGGCATATGCTTTGTATTGCTCCAAGTGGATTTTGGAACAAGAATATTCCTTGTGTTACTGGATGGTCTTTCAAAATCTTAACTATTATTTTCCTTTTATGACAGAGCCATGCAGGTCTCATCAATCTGTGTATTATTGTACTTATTGCTTTTAACAGCAGGCTGATTGTTGAGAATCTCATGAAGGTTTGCCTTTTTTTATGGTATTTTCATTTTAAACTAGCATACAAGAACATCATCACAAATGCAATACCAAATACGAAGTACTTGATCATCCTATTAAACTGCATTCCTTTATTTGGAACTAAAAGTAACTCCTATTATTATATTCAGAAGTGTTCAAACTCCCTCCCTTCCAAAACAAGGTTTCACATTGTAATTGGCACACGACTATTAAGAAAAAACAAAATTTGTGTTTGAGAATAGACACTTCACTAGCAGATAACAAGCTTATGATTACTATTGCAGTATGGACTATTGATTAAGTTGGGCTTTTTAAAATCTTTGACGGATTGGCCGCTTCTAATGTGCGGGTAATTTATCTATGACCTTCTCATCTCATTGGAGTTTGTTTCTTTTAAACATGCTCTTGTGATCCCTCTGTATTATATTTGTATTGCAGCCTCAGTCTCCCGCTTTTTCCAATTGCTGCTTTTCTTGTTGAAAAGCTAGTCCATAAGAAGTACATAAGTGATCCAGTAAGTCAGATCTAATAGTCTGATTCCTTTTGGAATTCTATGCATTGTTGGAAAGAATTTCATACATTGTGACATACACTGGCGGATCTAGAATAAACAGTAACCGGGGGCATCCTTAGGTAAGGACAGGACGAGGGGTCCGGGGGCAGCACCTCTAGAAAGTTTTTTTTAAAGACAATTTGAAATGATAAAAAAATCGTACAGAGTATTAAATAAGTATTTGAATAGTTAAATATTTCAAAAGTAGAAATATGTAATTTACAAAGTACATCATAACGTTATATAACTATCATATTATAAATATATGTACTTGCATACTTCCTCTATGCTGAATTTATTGTCACAATTACTATTTTGGACTTTCAGTAACTTTTCTTTGTTTACATGTTTTCATTTACCATTTGATAAAATAAAATATTCATGTCACATCTTGTTTTATAGAACTTTTGATGTAGTTTTGAAGTATGTAATTTGTACTTTGTAAATCTATGCCAGTTTGTGAATAAAATATTTTAAAAGAAATAATTTTAAAATATTTTTAAAAATTAAAAATCACTATATTTTTAAAAAATTAAAAATCACTACCCCCCCCCCTCCCTCCCCAATGTCTATCTGCCAATGTTGACACAGTGAGTAGTTGATGTGTTTAGATGTACATAATTTTTGGGAGTGTAAATTATTTTGGTCATAATACAATTGTAATGTTGCAGGTTGCAGTAACTTTACATATAATACTTACATCTGCTATCCTTTTATTTCCGGTTCTTGTCATACTAAGGTTTGTTCTCTACCTGTGAATCTTAAACATATACCTACCTCCACCTGGAAGGGACATTAGTCATATAGTCAAAATTAGTTATTTAGTCTCATTAATGTAAAGTTTAGTTTTCGTTGAGCTAATGATGACGAGATTAAAATACTTCAATTCTCAGTCCCAAAGATTTGTCTCATGTCATTTTGGCTCAAATGTGAAGAAATCCCCATCTTGATTTTAGTCCACTTATGTTAACCATTTTAGGAAATGAGAATAAGAAAAATGGAACACCCAAAAATCGACAATGGGACAACACCTTTGGCAAGGATGTAGTAAAAATTTGTGGGAGTTGTGATGCAAGTCGTTAATCACATCTAGTTTAAATGACTATTTGCTTGATCTTCAAATTGCCCAGGTCTGATTCTGCTATTTTACCGGGTTTGGCATTGATGCTTCTTGCATGCACCATATGGCTAAAGTTGGTTTCTTATGCACATGCAAACTATGATATGAGAGCAATCACAAAGTCTTGTCATGAGGTACTGCATGAATTCCACTGTGCATATAATTATATGGAGTACTATCTTCGTTTCCTTCTATTGCATATTCTTCCTTTTTTAAAACAAGGCTGGATTTTTGTTGGTTACATAAATACTACCTCCGGAAAAGAGTTCTGCCATGTTTAAAAAGATACAATATTAAAATTTTGGTTTGTACAAGTGTAGAACATTACAACGTACTCTTACAAGTCATTCATCAACTTTATATGTGTGTGTGTGTGTGTTTAGGTGCGGTTTAATGAAAAAAATGAAACAGACACTCTTTTTTTGGCACCGATGGAAAGCATATTACATGGATCGATATAAGCATATAAATGTTGCTTCTATTTTTTTTACTGGACATAAAGACATTATTTCGTGGCAAGGCATCCAGAAGCTTACTCAAACCATTATACTCCCTTTGCCTATAATTATGTTCCTATTTTGACTTCTCGCTTCTCAATAAAGTGAAATTGTGTGGTTGAAATTTTTTAGGAGAGATAAATTCAACCACAGAATCTTTTCTTAAAATGGAAAGGGGAATTTTTTCGATGGTTACTATGTTTCACTAATATGCTGCTGGAAATTGTTATCAGCACGACAGCACTTACCGTTGTTTAAGCTTCTCAACCTTTTTACTTTCTTAGGTTGAATTTCCGTACATGGATTGCCTTTATGAGGTTCGCTTCAAAAGCTTAATATACTTCATTGTTGCTCCAACGTTATGTTATCAGGTGAGACTACCAAGGTGCCTTGTGATTGAACCTTTTTTAGTACTCCATACGTTTTATTTCTCGATGTTTTGATGGTGAGAAATTGAGGATAAAGAAAATTAAGTGAATAAGGTATAAAATATGAGTTCACTAACACAATTTTTGAAGAAAAATATTTGTTATATAAAGTATAAAATATAGAATTGATATTATAATTACACAACAACAACCTAGTTATTGGAGTCCCACAAGTGGGGGTGTGGGGGTGGATGTATCCCTAATAAAAGTGGAAGGGATGTTGTTTCCAAATGATTTTATAATATTATAGAGCTCCTTAGGTTAGAAAATGAAGAAGAAGAAAGAGGATAAAGAAAAAGAAGAAAGGAAAAAAAGGAACAGATGTAAGGGTGGCTCTACTAGTTTTGCTAGTATAAAGCTTGGTGTAAGATTTTTTATAATAAGGAAAAAACAGTAGAGCAAAACTGGAAAAAGGTTATAAGTAGACACTATTCTTTGTTCCACCCCATTTTTTCATTATTTTACTAAATGTTTTTCCTTTTTTCCAAAACTGAATCTTTAGGTTGCGAGACAGAAACAAGAAGTTGAGATCACTTTTCAGTTATTGCCCTTAATTTGATAATTATGAATGATGCTACAATACTGCATCTTCATCTTATCCAGACATTCATTTTCCTTTTTTTTTGGCAATTTTCTGCTGTTTCCATATTGATTAGTGTTGTTTCCAGCTGATATATCCTCGCAATGCATGCATTCGTAAGGGCTGGTTGGCAAACCAATTTTGCAAGTTGATTATGTTTACAGGACTGTTGATATTTATCATAGAACAGGTGATTTTCATGTCCCTTTCAAGAGTGATATTTAAACATGTTAGTCTTTTTTTGCTGATTTTTTTGCAACTGTCGCAGTATATCAACCCAACTGTGCGGAACTCACAACACCCCTTGAAGGGAAACCTTTTATATGCCATTGAAAGGGTCTTGAAGCTTTCAGTTCCTACCTTATATGTCTGGCTCTGCCTATTCTATTGCTTCTTTCATCTTTGGTATGTCTGATTTTGGTATCACATTAAATATCCTTGCTTTCTCTTTAATATATTGAATTTTCCCAAAGGCAAAGAATTATTCCATTAATCCAACATAAATAACTGTAAATCCATCGAACGGTCATATTTCTGCTTTCACTTAGATACTTGTCCACATGTGCTTTTTTATGTCATAAACGGTTTCATGTGTTAATGGAAAGTGGTGACAAATGTGGGGGTGATGTCAGTGTGGCTGAAAATGGATTACTATTAATTGTGAATTGGTACTTGGGCTAGACCTCCAATCTTGAGTTTAGCTTTTGTGATGGAGTGTGTCTCTCAGTATAAGTGAATATGTGTGGGCTGGGAGGTCACTCTGATTCTACAACTAGTGTAATCATATACAGTATCCCATCTTTTTTGTTAGACAGATTCTTATGTGGTCCTAAGGTCCACACTCATTTTATGAACCTTAGTACATAACACCATGAAAGATTTGGGCTTTTTGCAAAAATAAAAAAGATCCACTTGTAAGCCCATAAAAAGTGTGAGAAGGTCTACCTTTCACATGTGGACCTTAGGACCACGGAAGCATAACTCTTTTTGTTAAGGAAATGATTGTGGAGTTGATACTATGATAAACCTCAACCACACAGTTTCTAGTTTCTTTAAAATGGGTAGAGTCAAACCAAGAGTTCAAATGGGGACGGAGAAAGTACTATCTAGTAATCCATTTGTCTTTGTGCATCTTATTCACTCACAGGGGTTTTAAAAAATATATTGAAATGAATTTCGAATACTTATGCTTGCTTTGAGTCTTCGACAAAGAAAACTCTCATGTATGTCATTTGTCTCTATGATCCTAATTTAATCATCTTTCATATACTACTATGATGCAGGCTAAATATACTTGCAGAACTCCTGCGGTTTGGTGATCGTGAGTTTTACAAAGATTGGTGGAATGCTAGAACAATTGATGAGGTAAGCCGTGAAAAAGCACTTTCTTCTTGTGTAGTTTACAGTAGTTATTTCAGAAGGGTTCAGAAGCTGATCAACTCTTTGTTTTTATTGCATCGTGTTGGCTGCTCTAATCAGTACTGGAGGAAGTGGAATCTGGTATGGTTTCTACTTTCTGCATAAATACCTTTCCATAAATATTTCTACTGCCAAAAACTGAGGTGCTGAAGTTTTTGGTCTAATTGTTTCTGCTCCTACTTTCTGCATAAATTCTTTTCCATATATGTCTGCTTCCGAAAACTGAAGCACTAAAATTTTCTGGTCACTAAAATTTTCTGCTCCTAGTTACTCCCTCCGTTCTTTTTTAATTGTCTATTTTGGTTTTCTCTGTGCCGTATTTTGACTAACTACATATGAAGTTATAGAATGAATAAATTTATAGGAATTACTCCGTATACTATGCAGTATTTTTTAAATAGAATTACTCCGTTCTTTTTTAATTGTCTATATACTATGCAGTATTTTTTTAATAATTTTTGCTAGTACGATTTCCCTCCAAAAATGTTCTTCTCACTTTCTTTTTCGGTCCGTTGGAAATTATACTTCCCATTTTCTTTTTTAGCTTACCTTTTAAGGGTAAATGTCAATAACACCCTTCCACTTTAATACCCACCCAACCAAATTAATTCACCCTCATATTAAAGTAGGGGCATTCTTGGAAGCTTGACACTTTTTTCTACTCCTAAATAAGCGTGCTAAGTCAACACAAGAAGAACATTTCCGGACGAAGCGAGTATAATTTAAGAAAGGTTTTTGGTCAAGCGTTTGGTGCAGAACGTGAAACAATAAAAAAAAGAATGGAGTGAGCACTGCTTAGTTACAAAGACATTAAAATTCAGTTTCTTGCAATCACCTTGTTTAGTTAAATTATTTATACCTGGATTAATGGATCTGAACTTAACTTTTGCGCTTTTGGGATATAAAATTGGTGTGGTTGATTAGAATTGCTGGGTTAGATAGCTTGTAATTCACCTGCTGTGTGTTGTTAATTTGTGTATCACTAAATTTTGATTATTGCAGCCTGTTCATAAGTGGATTGTTCGCCATATATATTTTCCCTGCATAAGGAATGGCTTGCCAAAGGTACTTTTGTGGGTGTGTGCGTGTGCGCAGGGGTGGGTGGGGGGCTGACGAGTTCCATCACATTTCAGTTCAATTCTTGCATTTTAATTCCAAAATTTGAATTCTTGAATTTCAAATGACAAGGGGAGGTATATGGATTTCAAATTGAACTTTGTTATGTATTAGAGGAATTTGCCTCAAATCCAAATCTAAATTTTTTAAGGTTCCCAAACATGGAATTTGAGCCAAATCTGGATTTGAAATTCAAATTCAAGTTCCCATACATACCATAAGCTTATTTTAAAAGGACAAAAGCACAAAATTAACCAAATGAGGCGTGCTCTACTCAAAACCTTCATGTTGTTAAGTTGTGGAGCCTAATATAATACTCTCTCCGTCCCAAAATAAACTTCTCCCTACTTTCCTTTTTTGTTCTCACAAAATAAACTTCCCATTCATTTTAGAGTAAGTATTGAGTGATTCACATTATTTCTCTCATCTGCATAAATCTCAACCACAAATTTCACCTTTCCTAATGTACTCTTGAAGAAATTTTGTTCAATTGTACATACTCCAAAATCATCAATATATAGTCTTGCCACTGTGGAGTTTACACACAAGACCTTACCGAGATGTTTCTGTGTTTTCTTCTTGAGGGCCAATCTCTCCTCTTTGATATCTTCCTTCTTCATCTCGATTGTGTTTGAGTGATTGTGCAATCCTAACTCACGTGTAGTCAGCTTACTTAACTTCTAATCCAAAGTTGACATTCGATATTCATTTCTTGATGCAGAGCATAGCGGTTTTGATTTCCTTTCTTCTATCTGCCGTTTTCCATGAGGTATAATGATTCCCCTTTGCATATCGTAACTTTTGAGTTAACTTATTCACTATTGGCATGCCATATAAATGCTTGTCTGTTTATCTGCATGCAGCTCTGTATAGCTGTTCCCTGTCATATCTTCAGGTGTTGGGCATTTATTGGAATTATGTTTCAGGTTTGCATCTTTCTGTGTACCAATCCCATCTCACCATTGGAAAAATATACGAGTACCTGTTTTTTTCTTCTCTCTTCTTCAAAACAGAGTGATAATATAGTGTCTTGTGTGCATCAGGTTCCCCTAGTCGTGCTGACTAATTACTTGCGAGACAGATTCGGAAGTTCAGTGGTACGTGTTTTCGTTCAATTTTCAACCGAGATATTCTATCATGCTTCTAGATTTTGTCCCATTTGGAAAGTATGGTTTTGAAGCACTTTTAAGTATAGAACATACTCACCCTATAGAAGCAAAAAAACCAGCAAGAAGATGAGTGTTTTATACTTTGAATTTCTCAGGTGGGGAACATAATATTTTGGTGCTTCTTCAGCATTTATGGGCAGCCCATGTGCCTGCTGCTTTATTACCATGACCGCATGACAGCTAGCAAAAAATGAGTGTATTAGTAGTAAAATTTGTAGAGGTAGGGGAGACATCTCCCCTCCCCCCCC